TCAGACCTTGAGTGGTGGCATAGAAGAGAGATGTCTTTACGTAGGTGAAACTATGATGTAAGTACCCTTAACTTAAACACTTATCTTCAATTGATTTTCAACAAGAGGGACAAATCAGCTGGGCGCCCATAGCTCAGTGGTTAGAGCGCTGGCTACACGCTCCAGGGCTGGTGGGTTCGAACCTAGCCTGGGCCTGCTACACAAAGAAACAAAAAAGAGAGACAAGCCAATTCAACAGAGAAAGAATAGTCTTTTCAACAAATACAACTGGATAGACACATGCAAAAGAACAAAGTGAGACCTCCCCGGGGCCCTGCCCACAGCCCATTCTTCATATACTGTGGATCCTCTGGGGCCTTTTTTTTTGAGGCAAAGTCTCAAGCTGTCACCCTGGGTAGAGTGCCATGGCGTCATAGCTCACAGCAACCTCCAACTCTTGGGCTCAAGTGATTCTCTTGCCTCAGTTTTTCCATTTTTAGTAGAGATGGGGTCTCACTCTAGTTCAGGCTGGTCTTGAAGTCTTGAGCTCAAGCAATTCACCTGTCTCAGCCTCCCAGAGTGCTAGGATTACTGGTGTGAGCCACTGGGCCCCACCATACTCTGGGGTCATCGAGTAGGATATCAGTTTGTTCTAAAGTTAAAGTCAAAATAGGTCTGTAAAGTAGAAAGTAGATATACACTGGTGAGAACTGGCAAAAATCCCCCCAATAGGGTTGATACATTTAGCCAATATAACTCAATTCATCATCTCAGACACCGATGTGGCTGCATTTCTTTAATTTTTAAAGTATTTCCTTGATTCTCTCCACTCCTACCCCACTGCCATCTTAGCCAAAAATTGATTATTATCTTTTGAGGTCTCTACCTATCCTTGAATTGTGTAAAGCCCTAGGGGCCTTCACGGCCAATGGGGGTGAACTTCCCTTCTCCTGTAAACAGAAAATCTACTCCTTGGCGTAGTGGCTTCTGTATATCACAAGGCTTTGCTTTTGGTGACTGGTCTTCCCAACTAGAAAGACACGAAGACTGGAATGTTTCATGGAATGGGACTGTGAGTTGGGGGTAGGGGGATGAGGAGAGGGATGCATGTTTAGCACATTTATGGTTCTTTCCTAAGTACATGATCTTGAAGTTTTGTCTAGATGTCTTTTTCTACTTCCAGACCCTGGGCTTCTGGAGTGCCATAGTGGTTTAACTCACAGCAATCTCAAACTCCTGGGCTCAAGTAATCCCCTTGCCTCAGCCTCCCGAATAGCTGGGACTTCAGTCACCCACCACAATGCCCGGCTAGTTTTTCTATTTTTTAAGTAGGGACAGGGTCTTGTTCTTGCTTAGGCTAGAAGAATGTTATTTAGTTCATTTCTGTATTCTTTGTCCCCAGCACCCAGCACAGGTGCACCTAACACATGGCAAAATTCTGAAGACATCCAACCTTAAGGAAGGACTGACATTGAAATGTATAAACTAAAGGTAATTTAAATGTCAACCAGTGATGGATGGATAAGAGGAACATTGGTACACTCAGGTGATCACCATGCACTCATTAAAGATTAGGCTTGCACTGATTCAACATGTGAGATGGTAAGTAGAAGGAGCAGGTGTGGAAGCCGCTGTCCTTGGGTGCTGGTGTGGTATGGGGGCTGTTTTGTCCCGGAGTGGACAGAGGTAGGGTGAAGAGGAGAACCATCTGACCCTCTCGCCCACCAGCCACTGGTCAGAAGTGGTTTCTTTGAATGAAAAATTATCCAGCCCAAGGCTGAATCATACTGGTTTTCAAGGTTTTGGTTTTACTCTTGCTTCTTGCTTACAGATATTACATTGGTGAGCATTTTCTTGTTTATTACTTTGAACGTCTGCGTAATTAAATTTTGGGGGATAAATTGCTAGGGGAATGATGGCTGGATCAAAGATAATCAGTGAAATTCTCAGTAGCTTTACCTGGGCAATGCTAAATGGTTTTACTTTTTAGAAATTCAAGCCGTGTTTTTGGTTTAGAAACGTAAAAGTTAGTGATGAACCAATTGTTCGCTGAGGAAATCACGTTGAGTGAAGCCTCACCCAGCAAAGTGGAAAAGGTGCTGGCTTAGGGTGACCAGACGTCCCGCTTTTGAACAATTTGTCCCGCGTCCCGCGGTGTTTAAAAAAAGTCCCGATTTTTGGAACGAATGGACGGATGGGCGGGAGAACAGGAAGAGAATATACAGTTTTCGGCTGCCATGTGGCTATTTCGCCAGAATATGAGTTTTATATTATTTTTGTTAATTTTGTAATGCTAAACTGCAATAATTACAAATAATTGTTGAGAAGTGATTATCGAGAACTGCTTATCAAAGTTTGCATTGTTGTCAGGCCCTGCCCTGCCCCATCCCTTGCCCCGCCCCCGCCCCGCCCCCCCACTGCCATGTTGTCCCGCGTTACAAATGTTAAAAATCTGGTCACCCTATGCTGGCTACTTGTTTTCTTGCAAACCTTCCGGGAACTCGGTGGTGGTCTCTGGTTCAATGACCTGTCATTTGGCGCCACCTACTGCACATTCACACAGCAGACAGGCGGAGTGGGCCGCTGAGAGCAGGCTCTGCTGGGGTGGTGGTAATTAAGGGCCCAAGTGGCATCTATCTGTAGGGGGGTCATGTCCATGTTGCAGCTGGTTATTGTGAACAAAGCTGGTCCTACCCTTGCTTTTTAACCTCTCACCTATCACCTAACTGATTAAAACACCCCTCTCCCTTCCATGCACAAGCCTGAGTTTACAGCTGTATTTGTCACATAGCATTTCTTGTCTCATCCTGCTCCTCCAGCCCTGCTCCTTCTAACTGCTCACAATTCACCTGTGGACTCTGTCCTCCCAGTGATCATTCACAGCACAGCCTTTGCCTGAGCCAGGTGCCTGCTTTTCTGTTCCTCCTTGCAACTTGAAACTCTTCAAGTCACAACTCACATACCACGTACCTAAGGAGGTCTTCCTCAACATTCCAGGCAAGAAAAGCTCCTTCCTGCATGCCTGGATCACGCTGCTGGGTGCCACTTGGTTAGTGTCCATAGTGCAGTGTGACAATGTGTGATTGTCCTCTCACTTGTCCCCACCCTGTGATGTGGCCTGTGTCAGACACTCAGGGATGTTTGCTGAATGAGTGAGTGAGTGAATATGCTTCCTGACTGTGGAGTTAGAGGGTTTGCTACTGGGGGAGACACTCAGGAAGATGCATTTAAGTGGATTCCTTACCCCACCCAAGCCCTGGAGCTGGAGGATGGGAGCCTTTCTGAGGCTGGGAGATGAATAACATCATCTTTTGTGATTCTTAGATGCTTCAGATCCTGCTTGGAGAGGTGGGTTGAAACTGGTTGAGTTAATCTCAGTGAGTGTTATGATATCATCTCAGGAATGCAATTAAGGCTCAGTCTTGCTATTGGAGAACTTGTGACAGTCACAACCTGGTGCCATAATCAGAGGCACCGAGGCTGCTGGGATGTGAGGCTTGGTGGTGAGTTCCTGGCTTCCCCAGATACCCTCTGACCAGCCTAGGGGAGTCTCTGAGATCAACCACAAGCAGCATCTGCGGACAGACAGGGTCCTGCCCTGGCAGGTCAGTGCTTCTTCCAAGGGAATTGTAGGAGTGGGTGCTGTGGTGGGCTACGAAGATTCTAGAAGGCAGAGAGGGACAGTTTACCTGTTTTGGAGAATGTGTATAGTGAGATGGTGTCCCAAAGGCATACTTGTGGCCCCAGAGGAGTTTGAGACCCTGAGCTAAAAACATGTCTTTGGGCCTATTCCCAAAGGCATAGGTTTGACTTGGCTCCAGGCAGATCATTTGTGTGATTTTGGGAAATTACTTGGCCTCTCTGAGTTTTATCCCCCCCTCAAGAATTGGTCAGTGATGCTTACCTCCTAAAGCCATTGGGATGATGAAACTGGATCTGGTACCCTGTGCCGGAACCCACCTGGGCATTGTGGTTCCTCCCTGCACAGAATCCAGGGAGGACGGCTTACTCAACTCCCAAACGCAGGGCTCTGGTCTCCACAGGAAGTGGGGAGTAGGGGTCACAGGCATTGGAGCACCAGATAGGTGCTGACAGGGGCTCTGGGAGGCCTCAGGGTCTTAGAGCTGCAGGGATGGTGATGATGGTGTGTCTCCTTCTAGGAGAGGGCCACACAGTGAGCAGTGGCAGCTCGTGTTGTCTGTATATTCAGCTGGGAAATAAAATGACACCAACACAAGCAGGGCTGGGTGTTCTGGGTGGCATAATTATTTTAATGTTCTGTTGTCAGCACAAAAAAGCTTAACAACCATGGGGGTTTTGCCTTTTCAAGGTGTTTAAAAAAATTTCAGTTGGCTCGGTGCCTGTAGCTTAGTGGCTAGGGCGTCAGTCATGTACACTGGAGCTGGTGGGTTTGAATCTAGCCTGGATCTGCCAAACAACAATGACAACTGCAACAAAAAAATAGCTGAGTATTATGGTGGGTGCCTATAGTCCCAGCTACTTGGGAGGATGAGGCAAGAGAATGGCTTAAGCCCAGGAGTTTGAGGTTGCTGTGAGTGGTGACGCCATGACACTCTACCCAGGGCCACACCTTGAGACTCTGTTTCAAAAAAAATTTTTTTTTCAGTTGGAAACAACATATGCACTGTCTTGCTTCAAAAAGTCTTAACTTGATCCTCATTCCTGGCCTAGATGACTCCTAAGCTGAGAGAGGTTGGAGGGGAGGAGGATACAGCTTTAGTGCCCAGGAGGTCCTTGGTCCCAGCAAAGGGACAGAACTCTGCCTTGAGATTTTGCAGGAAAGCTTCTGGCAGGGTAGAGACTCTGAGCCAAGTTTTGGGGGGTGAGATGGAGTGCAGAGGGGGGCCTGAGAGTGGGCTGGAGCACGAGGGCAGAAGGTTCTTGGCGGAAGCACCCATGTACTGTGTGCTGGTCCAGACGAGGTGCTACTCTCTCCTTCCAGATTCTCCATGGTCCCCAGCTACTCCACTTCTGCAGCCCTGGACTAGGGCCCAGCTGTCATGACGGACACGAAGGTGGAGGAATCCCTCTTCCAAATCATCCACTGCTACCACCAGTATGCAGCCCGGGAAGGGGATGTGGAAACCCTGTCCCTGGAGGAGCTGAAGGCTCTGCTTGTGGACAACGTGCCCCGCTTCATGGGGAGCCTGGTGCGTGGGGCTCTGTGCTTGGAAGTGGGCGAGGAAGGCGCTAGGCAGAGGGAGCTGTCTCCTGAGGGTCTTCCATTGAGGGCACAGGAGGGGTGAGGAAGTGCTCAAGGGCAGATTTGTGGCCAGAGGAGGGCCCCCGGGAGCTTCTCCACCCCAAACACAGCTAATCCCCAGGACTTGGTTCTAACCCCAGATTTGCTCCTTCCTCTGCCTATCTTGCCTCCTGAGTGTGGACCCTAAACCTCCCTCTGCCCACAGGCCTCTCTGGTTGCCTCTGCCTAACTGCTGTGCCAACAGTCAGTCTTTTGAGCTCAGCCCCTTCTCCTGGTTAGCATAGGGTGGCCCTCATGCTACAGTGGCCTCCCTGACTCGGGAGGAGAAGGAAATGTAGCTTCAGTCCTACATTCAGCTGTGAATGTTTTTTGTTGCAGTCATTGTTGTTTGGCAGACCTGGGCTGGATTCAATGTGTCCCCTGCCCTCGGCCACCTACCTTCTGCCCCCTGCCTTGTGGCCCATGCCATGGGGTCTCTGGACTGTCACTCTAGAGGCATTCAGGCCTGCCCCTGACTCAAGGCCAGTACATCCAGGGAAAGGCTCTCCTTTGGCCACTCCCCATCCTTCTCCTAACTGTGGGAAGCTCAAAGGAGATAGTCCTGCCTTTGCTTACTGGAGGGGGCGCTCTAGGCAAGGAGGGAGTGTGGCAGTGGTGACCACAAGTAGTTCTGTTTCTAGGAAGCCTTGTCCTTTCAGGGCAAACTGTGTTCAGGATCCTGGGGACAGACACCTAGGTGTGGATAGAGGACCTGGGGAGGGTGGCCTAGGTAAGGGGAGTTGGGGGAGTCTGCCCAGGCAGCCAGCTTCCAGCTTGCCTCTGGGGCAGCAGCTTTGTGGAGGAGAGGAGGTCCCGGGGATGGTGATGGCCATGGGCCAGGGAGAGGGGCTGTAAATCTTCTCACAGGGCTGAGGGCCACCTGCAGCTGCTGTCGTCTGCACAGCTGCCTCCCCCAGACCCCCTCTGGGCCTCCACACTGGTTACCCCACACCCACTACCTACCTGTCTGCCCACCTGTGTCCCCCCCCTGCACTTCTCTCCACCATTGTTAATCCTTCACCAATGCCAGGGCCGTGCAGCAACATCGGGGATAGCCCTGGGGCCCTGGTCCTTTCCCTTCCCTCACTCTGCACTCTGTGTGGGTGACAGACCAAGTGCCACAGATGCCAGCCCCACTCAGCATCGTGCTGGCCCTGCAGAGGCTGAGGGCAGGCAAACTCTGCCCTGGGCAGCTCCAGCCTTGCCTTCAGCCCCTGCTGGCCTATTATTGGCAGCTCTGCTTGGTTGGGAAGACAGGAGGGAATAGCCATTGATGGGTGTGAGGCATGTCTGGGGTGTGGGGCTGGTGGGTGCTACCTCAAAGTTTGGGCAGGAAATGGCACCCAGGCTGCCTCTGTCTGCACCCATGCTGTTCCAGATCTAGTGCCCTGAGACACCTGCCACCCCTCTGTCTCCTGAGACTGGGCTGTGTCTGTGTCTCAGGCACTGATTGCTAGGGTGAGGCACTTCCTGTGGGCCTTGGCAGGCAGGGCCAGCAGATGGTGGGGGCCTGGCAGGTGGGTGATCTCTGCTAACTCCCCAGGGCCGGAAGGAGCCACACTACATCACAGAGTTGTTCCAGGCAGCAGACAGGAACAAGGACAATCAGATCTGCTTCGAGGAGTTCCTCTACATCCTGGGCAAGCTGGTCCAGGACTACCACCTGCAGTACCGCCGGCAGCTGTGCGCTCACCACTGCACCCAGCACAGCCTCTACTAGAGGGAGGGCAGCCTCCTGCCCACAGGAGCCTGACCCAGGAGAGGGCGTGACCTGCTGTGTATGTGTCCTCGTGTGTGTGCACATGTGTGTGTGTCCTTATTGGGCGTGCATGTGTGTGCGTGTCTGTGGAAAGAATAGCTATGTGGGGCCGGGTGTGGTGGCTCATGCCCGTATTCCTAGCACTCTGAGAGGCTGAAGCAAGTGGATGCCTGAGTTCATGGGTTCGAGACCAGCTTGAGCAAGAGTGAGAATCCATCTCTAAAAATAGCTGAGTGTTGTATGGTGGATGCCTATAGTCCCAGCTACTTGGGAGGCTGAGGCAAGAGAATTGCTTGAGCCCAAAAGTTTGAGGTTGCTGTAAGCTGTGACACTACAGCACTCTACTGAGGGTGACAAAGTGAGACTCTGTTATAAATCAATAAATCAATAAATCAATCTTTAATAATGCTAAAACAAGCCTATAAAATACTTTCTACAGGGGCCAGGCACAGTGGCTCATGCCTGTATTCCTAGCACTCTGAGAGGCCAAGACTGGTAGATTGCCAGAGCTCCCAGGTTTGAGACCAGCCTGAAACAGAGTGAGAGACTCCGTCTCCAAAAAATAGCCGGGTGTTGTGAAGTGTTCCTGTAGTCCCAGCTACTTGGGAGGCTGAGGCAAGAGAATCGCTTAAGCCCAAGAGTTGGAGGTTGCTGTGAGCTATAACACCAAGGCACTCTACTAAGGGTGACAAAACACTTTTTTTCTCAAAAGAAAAAAAAGAAAGAAAGAAAGAACAGCTATGTGGGAGAGAATAAAACAATTTCATAAATATTTTTGGGCATGGCTCTGGGCATACCCTACAGGTTCAGAAATAGGAAGCTTGGTCTCTAGCCTGAGGGACATGCATGTTAGAGAGGGGATAGGTGGGAGATACATCCCCGGCCTCCACGGGCCACTCTATCTGATGGGGGAGACATAGCTGTTGCTTCAAGGAGCCCCTGCCTGGGGGAGGAGGGAGTCCCTGCCCTCAGCTTTCAGCCTGAGAGGGAAGCGTTTCTCCTGGGGAAATAGGAAGCCAGGCCAGTGATGCTACTGGACACTCATTTTACACACTTGATGGGTGTGAGCCCCAAGGGCAGGGAGCACCTGACATGCATAGGCCCTGAGGAGTCAATGTACAGAAGTGGGCTTGGGCCTGGGAAGGGGCACATTGCAAGCAGAAGGAACTACAGTGGAAATGCACTTGGTCTTCCCAGGAGCAGCAGAAAATTCTCTTGGAAATTAGTGGTCCTGGGAAGAATAGTAGGAAGTCAGTTTGAATGGGCGGGTCAGGACCAGACTGGGTCCTGTCACAGACACTTTGTGCCAAACACACTGTGCCATGGGGTCAGTGCTGGGCTTTCAGAGACTAGGTGGGCCACAGAGGACATGCCAGAGCCACCAGGAGGCTCCTGCACAGCAGGGCAAGGGCTGTGAGGACAGAGGAGTGGCTCACACAGGGACAGGAGGGAGGACAGGCACCACGGAAAGGTGGCAGGCTGAGGGAAGGGACAGTTCAGAATGGTGTTGGGGTTTCAGGGGTTGATGACTGAGAGAAAATATGACACCTATGTCTGGCATGAGGATGGCGGAGCCAGCCAGGCGGGAGTCTGCCAGGGAGGGTGTGTGCTGGCTTTGTGCTGGCTGAGTCAGAGACTGAGATAGGGCAAAGCTGGCACTCCAGCCTGGCAGAGCTGCAAACACTGATCATGGGAAGAGCAATGAGGAGCCTGGGTCACAGGTGACCCAGGAAGGGTGGTTTCCTTGGGAGAGGAGTATGTTCTGGTGTTACCTCACACATCGTGGTGATGGGCATGGGAATTGTTCAGGGTTGTCTGTGACCTGGGGATCCCAGTCCTCTGGCCCCTCCCTCTAGCCCCTCTCCCACCCCCTGGGAGCCCAGGTAGCTGTGCACATCCCTTGGGAGGGGCTCCTCTGCCTGCAGGCACTGCCAAAGCCCACCTTGCTGGGCAGACTTTTCTGAGGATCGGTCTGAGGCCTGTGTCCTCAGCTTATTGGTACATTTAAACTGATGATGGGAGACTGTCGCGTTGTTCACCTGTGCTGTGTGTAACTGGAGGGCCATTTAAGAACCTGGTCTGGTTTCTTCCCTGCTGGGGTCTGTGTATGGGACACAGAGCTCTACCCCAGGGGTCAGCCCCTGCTGCTCTGCGCTGGACCTACCACACCCACCAGTCCCCATGCTAGCTTTGTGGGGTCAGCTGGGCCCTCCCCTCTCCTGTGTGACTTCTGTCCCTGTTTCCCTCTGACCCTTCTCTGCAGGGGGGCACATTCTGCCACAGTGTCAGCATAGGGGAACACTCAGAAAGTATTGAGGAAAGAATGCAGGGTCAGGGATCACCTAGATCTGTACTTCATTTTGCCGGGCCCCCAAGTGTCTAGAGGCTTGGAGACAGTCACCTGAGTTACTTGAGCACCCTTCCTGGAGGCTGAGGGAGAAACCTCCCGGCCTGTCTCACTGAGTCTTGGGTTGCACAGGCTTTGAAAACTAAGAAAGGGTCCCTACCTGGGCTCTTCTGGCCTCCCGCCTGCCCCTTTCTAGGGGTTTCTCCACCAGCTCTGCCTGCTCTGTCCTCATTTCCTCAGCCACAGGGCGGTTGGGACACACACCTGGGGACTGAGCCCTTTCCTGGTTCCGGTCCCTGTAGGTTGCCCCACATCCCTCAAGCTGATGACAGACTCTGCTGTTCCCTCATCACACTTCCCCAATTCCTGACACCTATCATCTGGAAGCCAGTTCAGCCTGGCTCTTTCTCTCCCCAGAGGTCCCCAGGCTTCCTGGTCAGGGGGAGTGCTTCTCCCCCTTACCAGTCAGCCTGACACCATGCAGGGTGAAGTTGTCACTCACAGCTGCCTTTAGTCTCCTTCTGTGGGCCTGAGGAAGGACCTTGAGCAATGCCCCGTGCCTCAGTTTCCCCATCTTTCAAATCGAGGCAACTGTAATGCCCAGTTTGCAAGGTTGCTGGGCATATCAATGGGTGTGAGCACACTAAGTCTGATGCTGCCATGGGGTAAGGTGCTGCCCTGCCAGGTCACACAGGACAGTGCCTGGGGAATAAGAGGTGTGAGCTGACTAGTTGAAAGCTTGTCCCACTGTGCTTATATGTCAGAAGCAGCCCTATTTCCTGTTAGAGGTTGATTCACCTCATATCAAGGCAGTGAGACTGCATTTGGTTAATTTGGTTATTCTGCCTTCTTCTAAAAAGGATTTAAGGTGGCTGGGTGTGATAAAAAGAATTTCTGTGTCAGATTAGGGAAAGGCCCCCAGTTCCATTTTGTATTCCTTTACCCCTCAGTAAGTATCAATTTGTCACTTGGTAAGTTTCTGGTCCTAGGGGTGTGAAAGTCCACGTGATTTCTTTTCTAAAGGGGCTCCACTTCCTAAAGAAAAGACAGGTAATAAACAACAAATGTTAATACAGCAGGGCAGATACCGAGGTGGACCCTGATCTGGGTGGCCAAGGAGAGGGGGGTGTTGCTGCCAGGTGGGGTGGGGGTCAGGGATGGACTTGGCTCAGGTGGTGCCCAAGCTGGACCAGGGAGGAGGAAGAAAAGGGCATTATGGGGCCGGGAGGCATTTCAGGCAGAGACAAGAAGTGTATGCTGTCATATCACTTCACAAGTCCCCTCAGTCATAGGATGCACTGAGTGCTGTGGCCTCGGTTCCCTCTGGAGTAAGATGAGAATTATCAGTGTGCACACCTCCTGGGATCTCTGTGAGAACTCAGTGCACTGATGAAAGTAAAGCACAGTTCCTGGCACACAAGCTGTCACTTTGCCCTGATTGGTTCTGATGACTTGCTGTTGCTGTGTGTGTTGGGCACTGTGCTGGCTCCACTCGGGGGCCGTGGTCATGCCTGCAGGGCACAGGCCAGCAAGGCTGTGGCTCACATTCTACACCTTGCTGTCTAGCTTGGGCACCACTCCCAGCACAGCATATGTATTTTTGTGTAAACTATTTTTTTTTTTGAGATGGAGCCTCAAGCTGTCCCCCTGGGTAGAGTGCCATGGCATCACGCTCACAGCAACCTCCAACTCCTGGGCTCAAGCGAATCTCCTGCCTCAGCCTCCC